ATTCGAACAGGTGTGAGGTGGTATCTCATTGTGGTTCTGATTTGCATTTCCCTAATGGCAAGTGAAGTTGAGCATTTTTCATATATCTGTTGGCCCTTTGTATATCTTCTTGGGAAAAGTGTCTGTTCAGGTCCTCCACCTATATTTTAATTGGACTGTTTCTTTTTTTGTTATTGAGTTGTATGAGTTCTTTATATTTTTTGGATATTAGCCCCTTATCAGAGATGTTGTTTGCAAATATTTTCTCCCATTTGATTAATTGTCTTTTTGTTTTGTTGGTGGTTTCTTTTGCTGTACTGAAGTTTTTTATGATAGTTTGATACAGTCCCGTTCATTTATTTTTGTTTTTATTTCCCTTGCTTTTGAGGTCAAATTCATATAATCCTCTCTAAGTCCAAGTTCCACAAGTTTAGTACCTATGTTTTCTTCTATGCAATTTATTGTTTCAGGTCTTATGTTTAGGTCTTTGATCCATTTTGAGTTAATTTTGGTACGTGGTGACAGAGAGCAGTCTAGTTTCATTCTTTTGCATGTGGCTTTCCAATTTTCCCAGCACCATTTATTGAAGAGGCTTTCTTTTCTTCATTGTATGTTTTTAGCTCCTTTGTGGAAAATTATCTGCCCTATATATGTGGGCTTATTTCTGGGTTCTATTCCATTGGTCTGTGTTTCTGATTTTCTGTCACTACCATAGTGTTTTGATTATTTTTCCTTTGCATTATAAATTGAAGTCAGGGAGTATGATACCTCTGGCCTTGGTGTTTTTTCTCAGGATTGCTTTGGCTATTCGGAGGTCTTTTGTGATTCCAGAGAAATGTGATTTTACTTTTGTTCTATTTCTTGAAAAAATGCCACGGGGATTTGGATGGAGATTGCATTTAATCTGTATATTTCTTTGTCACATGGCCATTTTAATTATGTTAATTCTTCCAATCCATGAACACGGAATAGATTTCCCTTTGTATCTTCTTCAATTTCTTTTAAAAATGTCTTACAGTTTTCAGTGTATTGGTCCTTCACATCCTCTGTTAAGTTTATTCCTAGATATTTTATTCTCTTTGTTGCAATTACCAAAGGAATTGTTTTGTTCATTTCTTTTTCTGAAATTTCATTGTTAGNTCTATCTATCTATCTATCTATCTATCTATCTATCTATCATCATCATCTATGGCATTTTTTCCATTCTCCTTTCACAGGTGGGTCAGTCGGGAAGCTTTTGGTTTCTTTTGCCTTGAAAACACACAATTTCTTGCCACCAGTGGCTGTTTCTAGGCCTGGATCTCCTACAATTGCTGTTGTATTGTTTTTTTTGTCTCTTGGAGACATTTATCTTGTTTTTGAGCATGTTTTGCATGTCCCTCCCTGCTCCCCTTTTTCTTCTCCTCTCTCCTCTTTTCTACCCCCACTCTATGTGTAATGTGTGTGTGTATACACACACACATATATATACACACAATTATAAACACATACGTATGTAATCTATAATTCCCATGGTTTTAGAGTAAAGGGGTAGTTTAAAGCATTATTTCATAATATTACCTTGACCAAAAGTTTTCTGTTTGCTTTCTATCTTTCAGGGATTCCTCAATAGTTCTGACCCATGGGTGATAATCTTCCTTAAAATTATTATAGATTAAAATATCATTTACATCATTATAGTATGTTAGATAAAACCTGGTTTTCCATTTTAACCTAGTCTCTCAAATCCATTTCCAATTTGCTTTTTGTTTTTCAAAATAACAGCTATACAGCACAAGAGTACTGATGAAATAATGAAAAGCCCCAGAAGGTCTGTTACATACATCAATTTTTGTTTTTCTTTTGTAATTCAAAAAGTGTATCTCTACTTCTTGTTCTATTACCTTGCTAAAGTTTAGTTCCATTATACTCCCTCTGTTTCACCACCATTTCACCAATTTTTCCAGTTATTTAAATTTTTTTGTTGGTTAACTTTGCGACTTCTTTGCTATTATGATAGTATAGTATAGTACTTGAGAGGAAGGAATATGAAGTGAGACTGC